AACTTTATAGTGTCATTTTTAGGTGTCGGTGTGCGCGTGCATCGTAAAAAATTCACTCTCATCATTTTTTCCAAACTCCCCAAAAGAAGTATAACTTCAAAAAGTAGTCGGGTGCAAGCGAATTCACTACATATTTGTGGCGCTATAAATACAGGTGTGTTTACAAGCAACATCGCTTTTGACGTTAACAGTTCAATAAAATACATTTATCACTTTAACGACTGCTTTAGCCGTATTTTAAGCTTCGCTTAGGTTTTTGTTTGTTATTTTAATTAGACCTATCTGACTTGTTTGAAGTACGATTAAATATTACTTTTCGATATTATTTATTTATTTATTGTGAACATATATATTTGTATTAGGTAATGTTATCGTCTTATTTTTATTTAAAACGTGATAGAGCCACACTGAAGTTATATTATTGCATGAAAATGTAGTCTTGTTCAGGAAAAGTCCGAGCTCTTAAAGTAAAGTTTAACTGACTAACTATGACATCAGGACATCAGGTGTTAAAACCTCAACGCAATCCCTCTCCCAACTATTGAGGCAGCAAAGCAGTAGAAACATCGGTATTTCAATATAAGTTTAAAAGCAACTTGATAAAACACGTAAAGTTGGTTTCAACCGATCCGACACTAATTAAAGAACTTAACGACAAATCGCTTTAATTGAATTTCACATCAGGTCACTACTAAAGCAATGCTAAGTCAATATAAGAGCTAATAGTGGCGTTGAAAAGTAGATATAGATAAGATATACCTAGAGTCAGCGCGCTATTAGAAACTACTGTGTAGATCACATTTACCGTTTAAGCTCTCTTTAGAAGTAGTCTACTTACTCCTAATAGAGACTTTTGTGCCAGAATATTATTCAACAAGTGGTAAAATAAAAATTATGTACAACCCACTTCAATATAAATAAAATGAGAACATCATCAGTGTAGTTGAAGTCAATTTAATACGCATTATTAAGGATATCTCAAAAACTACTAGTCAGATCAAATTTATATGGTGGTCCCATAAGAGAGATGAAATAAAAGAAGAATCATCATAATCCTACCCTTTCCCCACCTAGAAAATAGTTCTGAGGTAACACATTAAAAGAAAATACAGTCGAATGTAGTACCTCCTCCTTTTTTTGAAATCGGTAAAAAGATCAAGGCGCGCTGGTGGTAAGCACTGTGCAGATCGTAGTAACCGTCTAAGCCGATCTGCGACACATAAAGCTATTTTCTGCCGACTTCCAAAAAGGAGACGGTACTCAATCGGACTGTATGTTTGTTTATGTGTGTTACCTCATAACTCTTTACTGGGTGAACCGATTTCGATGATTCTTTTTTTTATTTGAAAGCTGGTACTTCTCGTGTGGTCCCTATGAATTTGATCGAGGTCAGACTAAAGTTTTAAATTATTCTTAATAACTTATATTGAAGCAGGCAGTACAAAATTTTTAATTTTAAATTATGAATCTGTTAACTTATAATAAAGGCTGTTGTTCTGGGGCGTGTCCCTATGTAAAGTCTGTAAAAACGTGTATTTGTAGCGTCAATATAGTTTCTGTAAAATAATGCTTACTAGTAAACCAAGAGCTTCGCAGGGAAGCCATAAAAACATTTAAATATATAATGTTCATAAATATTAATAATAACACATGTACTATAACATACATATTATCGCTCATAAACATTTATTACAACTAATAAACTATATAATATACTCTCAATGTGTTATATAGCATACGCGTAATTAAATAATATATAATACGTTTATAGGTGGTAGAACCATGCTGCAGCTATATTATGGTTATGGCATGAATGGGTCGGCTCGACCGGGGTAGAACCACGCTCTCATAGAATATCCACTTAAAATAGCTGCTTAATGCAGCTATTTTAAGTGGATATTCTTAACACAGCAGTGTTTCGTATGGTAGGCGTGGAAACTCAAGACCCTTTTTACTGGAAACGACGCATTTCATCTTAGGCCTCAGTGGTGACAAGGCGTAAAGGTGGTACAGCCACGCTACAGCTATATTGTGGTTGTGGCACGAATAGGCCAGCTCTTCCGGGGTAGAATCACGCTCTCACAGAATACCAGCGTAAAATAGCAGCTTAATGCTGCCGTGTTTCGTATGATAGGTGTAGACAACCGGAGATTATTTTTACTGGAATCATTATTCATCTTGATTCTTAATCGAGGATAAATGTTGATGTCTATGGGCTACAGTACCCACTTACCATCATGTGAAGTGTGTGCCTGTTTGTCAAACTTATCCTATAAAAATACATACATTTTGAACATACTAATATACAAACAAAATATACTATCACCCATGTACAAGCAAAAATATTTAAAAAATTTAGCTACTAGAAAAAGAAAAGTAATATAAGAAGTCGTTTTTTTTTATGACTCAGCGACGAAAGACAGACATCAATTTGGTACTGCGAAGAGAACACACAAAGTAATTCCTTCGGAGGATCTCAAGAAAATCCCTCAGTTACGTTCATAAGAATAACTCAAATACTGAAACTTGTATTACAGCTATTAGGGTGTACATGGATCGTATATCATTGAAAATCGGTTGCAAAGATTTCTGATACATCTAAGTTGATGGATAGAACGCCATTTAAGTTTAGAACGGCAAAAGAATACGTGATTGTACTTTTATTGTAATAGGATAGGGTGACAAACGAGGACATAGTCCACCTGATGGTAAGTGATTGCTGTGACCCATAGACATCTACATCTATCCTCAATAAAGAATCAAAATGCAGGTGTGCAATGAGGACTAAGATGGAATGCCTCTTTTCCAGTAAAAAGGGTCTCTGATTCTCTACACTCACCGAAACACAGCAGTGTCAAGCTGCCATTTTACGCTGGTATTCTATGTCAGCGTGGTCCTACCCCGGTCGAGCCGACCCCTTCGTGCTACAACTGTACTACTTATATAGCAGCAGCATGACTCTACCACGTATAAATACAAGTAGAAGCCTTATTTACTCGTATTTCCAAAAAAAATGCAATATCGGTATGCCATTATTTATATATTTGAACTTAAGTTTAAAATTTGGCTTCTCTTTGAAAAATAACCCTGTATATACATATGCGTACGTACTTGCGAAGACCGAAAATAAAACTAAAGCAATTGTTAAGAAGACGATCCAATTTGCAGAGAAGTAGGTAGCAACTTGGCACCAGAGGTACACACATCAGCACAATCATCCATTACATGCTATAAAAGTCCGCTGCTGAACATACGCCTACCTCATAGATTGCCTCACAGGAGAGATTTTGCCATAATTGCCACGTTTGGCAAGCTAGTTGGCTACCGCAGTTTTTTTATTATTCTAAGTTGTTATTTGGAAGATGCTGCTGCCCATCACCAGTTATTGATTAGACTATTATTCAATCCAATCGAAACTAAGGCTAGGCTTGATTATTGATTTTTATGAAAAACTCTTAATATCTGGGCAGTATATTATACATATAAAACTTTAGAGAAATTAAGCATTTAAATACATTTGTTCTGTATATAGAACACTTTTTATTTAGAGAATAATTTAAAAATTGATAGTTTAGTTGGTAATCGAATGAAGATTACCACTTCAAGTGATTTTTATGTCAAAGAAAGAACTCTAGTATAACCTCTAGAACCGTGTTTCTTCGGTATTGTATATTGTAATACATTTTGATTATTAATCGAGGGTATATGAAAGTGTCTATTGGCCACAGTATCCACTTACAATCGGGTGGATTGTGTGCTCGTTAATTACCCTCATTCTATATAAGATTATCATTTCAAATGTTACAGAGGGGATTGACTCTGATTGCTCACGTGTAATGAAACATGTAAATCTAGTCCAGAACTCTAGGCAACCACGGCTCATTAAATTTATACGTTAGACGGTTATATACTATATAAAACGAGAGATATTTAAACGTCCCAAACGACTGCTAACAAGTACAGCGTGTTTAAAATACATACAGGCATCCGCAACTTTTATCGAATCATATAAATTGATTAATATATAAATATTCAGACTAGTTGTCAAGCTCCGACGCAGGTATGGTTCTGTCAGGTGCATGCACACGCAATTGTTTGTTTAACACAATTAGCGTTTCGCACGTGTGTTCTAATAATAGATGTGTACCGTACGCCTCACTGTCCATCACTCGCGCCCAATCAGTGAGTCTGTTTTGTATAAGTGTTGCCGTATTGAAAGTCAAAGAGCTGCAACCAAAATCTATGCATATCCCTGCACGCCATTCATTCCACAAAAAGTCCAAATTGTATTCACGACTAACGATCTTCTCTAAATGATTTTAAGCCCAATATCACTTGCAGAACCACACCAAAATACATCATACACCGACTAATATAGTTGTGCTTGCAAAATTTTGTATCAAAACAATTTTAGCCCACGGCTTCGATATAAATGCCAAATATAGCCCCGGGACAGATAATTAACAGAATTTAGAAGTTCGATCAGTTTTAAATTGGTATTACAAACATGCGTTGTTAAAAGATCAACAAGTCGCGTATTTAATTATACCCCGAAACTTGATTATTGGGGGCCCCGTTTGTTGATCGCTCGAAAGCGTTTATAAATCAAATCGCCCACACCAGTCCTCTTACTAGTTGATTGTGAAGTACTAGGCTCTACATTTCTACTAACATAAAGCCTAAATTGTAGTAATATATTAGTCAAAATAGCGCGAAAATCGTTTTGCGCTGCGCGTGCGTCGGGGTGGGCGCACAGGTGAACGTCAGTCAGTCTGCTCTGGGAGCTCCTGCCGACAGGGATCCACTCACGCAACACGCCGCGAAATTTCGGTACTGTTTCCGAGACATATTATAACAACTTAAACGAAAACTAATTACAGGAAAAAATTATTTACAAAATAATTTTAAACGTTCTAATGGGACTGGTATGTGCGTAGTAAGGTTCAAAGGACAGGCCATGGTTAGGGGTGGGATGCTGGGGCAGTGATGTCCTTCGAAAGATGCGTCCGGTCGTCATTGCCGCATGCTTGCTGCTGCTCGCGCCCATCACCGATTCTTGGTGGTGAGTTGAAATCGATGAGATAAAAATGTAAACACAACACCGACTTTCATATTGCTACAGTGTTAATGGGCAATAGAAACTACGAAACTTTTTTTATGGATACTTTGTTTTTCTTACAGAGGACTTAGCTAATTCTCTAATTTAATGTACCTTTAATAATTAATTTTAGATATCAGAAGTTTTAGTAGAGTTGCTTTATACATTTTGAAGTAAAAAGTATTAAGTATAATTTTTTACTGTAAAAGATATAAAATATCCTTTATTTTATATTTATTTCCCAGGCCTATTACAAAGTATTTTGAAATATGATACTGGCAATATGATATATATATATATAAATGAGTTAACACATTGTATATTACACTTATTTATTGTTAAGCCCCTTTGCAGTAAAATACTTCATATAAATACGTCAAAATTAAATATAAATGCTTTGGCAAAGAGTAGAGTAGAGTCTTATGAAGTAACAAGACGACATGATAAGTATATCAAGGTATATGCGTCACAGTTTACTTTTACTTTTAACCTATTCGATCGTTTCTAGGGTTCCGCTGCCATAAAATGAAACCTTTAATTTCATTCTGTTCGTTTGCCCTAATGTGTCGCAGCTTATGATAACCTCTTATGAGAATTTTCGACGTAATGAGATAAAAATTTAAGAGTTTCTATCGATTTATAGGTCCTAATTTTATGGTATAATAATATTCGTCATATTATATTATAGTTTTTATTCACTACTCGTTAATCAGTCGATGTATTTTTTTGTTTCGACAATTTTTTTTTTGTTTATGGGGCGTAGTATAATTTGATTTTTTAACTTAAATAACGAGATTTCGAAAATCGCTTTTGGCAAATAAGCTTTGATGACGAAATATCAAACTAATCTGTATTGCTTAAACTTTATAAACAACTAACAAAATCAACTAAAAATCGGAAAAATGGAAAAATAGGTCCTGTTGAATAATTTAAATTGAAAATTTAGTGAACGCTACTTCAGAAAATTTAAGAAATAACAATCTATGTAGCCGAACTCTATTTTACGCTTGATCCAACACACATTTGAATTTTATTTTTTTTTATACATCTTGACCACAATTAATTAAAGTTGTTCTTAACGTTGCTAAATTCATGTAATGATCTCTAGTACTTACTAGTGATTTAGGTTAAAATGAACTGTATTAAACATTACTTTACGTGTATTTGTAATTCATGTACTTTTTGGTAGGACTTCTTTCCTACCGGGGAGTCCGTCCGGGTTGGCACCAGAGTTACGCCTGTTTCGCCTAGTAGTAGTACATATAATATTCTTGCTCCGGCTAGGCCGTAAGAAATTCCATCTTTGTTCTTAGGGATGATAATCCTGTGACTTTTTTTTTCAAGGTTGGCTACAGGTATGTGTTGAATGCAATAGCCTATAGACCATTACCTTATTTGTTGTTATAATACTATATATGTAAAATAAGAAATGAATACTAATATGATTCATGATTAAAGCCTTGCTTGCAAATTGTTTACATGAAAAAGGTAACGCATTATTATTATCATTATTTCCACCAATATGCACCATTAAGCATACATTGCCTAGAAGAGTTCCTCAAACTCGCTGGGGATTAATGAGTTCAGAGACACTGAAAATGAAAGTATGCTTGATTATTTAGTCTGTAGTATTTTAGTTTACATATGGATTTTCCGTCATCAGAGACCAAACCGTCAAGCACCATGTTCGCACAGAGCATGATAGGATGATATTTGGAGAAAAAAAAATACCCCAATAAAGATATAAAATTTTATTTCCAATCAATTTTTTATTAAACTGCTTCCACGTTATTTAAATACTATCTGTATGTTGTCTATGTACAAGTATGTGAATGTATAAGTAAGGTAACGTTGAAATTAAAACAAAACAAAATAAACAAACTATTTCTGTTATTTATTATAGCAGCTAAATGTGGGATATTATAAAGTCGATCGTAAGCTATTAATGTAAATCGGTTTTCATTCGGTTAGTTACTTGTATTCGAATTAATACGGGGAATCAGAGCTTTAACAGTGGGTGGCTTGGCTCCAAAGTAAACTGTATGTTGATTTCGCTGAACAGGGCTCTATTACAAATAACAACCGTTTGAACAAGATACACAAAATTTTGAACAAATTTTTCTGGTTTATTTAATGGTAATGGATTTTCGTTTTCCATGAAGCTTTAAGGTACGCTTTTATTTGCAAGCTTTGAATATTATTTAAAGAGATATATATATATATATATATATATATATATATATATATATATATAGATACTAATATTACTTACAAAAGTTTTCAAAAGTTTTTACCAAGTATATTAAATACAGGGCTTTTAAAAGTACTTATAGATTAAAATTATAAAAAAAACCGGCGACCCATTTTAGAGAACCCGATATACCCTTTTTACTAGAAACGAAGCATTCCATCTTAGTCCTCAAGGGTGAAAACGCAACTGCACTTGATCCTTAATCGAGGATAAATGTAGATAAATGTATGTATATGGGCCTCAGCATCCATTTACCATCAGGTGGACTGTGTGCTCGTATGTCACCACCATTCTATAAAAAAAAATATCATAACACTTTATTTCTGAAGATGGGCATTGGATTTACCAAAACTGGGAGAACGTAATATAATCGCTTTGCTTGACGTATAAAAGTATAATATTACTTTGAATCGTCCCTAAAGTAGTAATAAGAGAGTAAAGTTGAAAAAATTACAAAAACCATACATGAAATATGAAATAGAGCTTCTCATTTTTGGACAAGTTTTGACATGAAATTAGATTTAGTGTAAAGTAAGTTTGTAAAAAACATATGGTAGCGGTTTAAGAATACCAACTACCCCGTAGCGGGGATGCCATAAAAGGCGACAAAATTATTCTATTAAATTACAATAAAATATGTAATATATATACAATAATAATTATGCGGCTGCCAACCCACCTGCTAAGCGTGCCAAGTATAGCAAATATTCTTCCTATGAGGCAATTTATAGAAGATATTTAGATAGGCATGGTATGGTAAGATGTTATGGTAAGTTTGCAAAGATAAACAATGGTTTAAGAGAATCAAACTCAGAAAAAAATATCGATATTACCATGGCATCAGAAATATTTAGACTTCATATTAATTTACATGTGACATTCAAACACACCTGTGTACTGCGTACTCTTTAACATTTATAAAAATTTTAACTATCAGTATGCCGTTATACGATATGCAACATGTAACAAAAACCACCGTGGTTCCCGTAAAGTGCGTTATCAGAATCAGTATTCAAACCTATAGAAATAACTTTACTACAGAATACTCGACCATAAAAATTTTAAATTAAATAAGAATAAATTTCTTTTTGCAAATTGTTTGTGGTTTTATTACATCTAACTGTACTAACTGACTGACTGTAGGTACTCTTACTCCCCGGCTAATGCAGAGGTAATAAAACCACATACATTTTGCAAATAAACATTTATTTAAAATTAATTAAAAAAAATAAAGTCTAGTTTTCTCAATTAGAGTTATTTCTATACGTTTGAATAATTATTCTAATAACGCACTGAATGAGGACCACAGGGTTTTTGTTACATGTTTTATATACTCATAGAGCCACTTTTTCATACAGTCACTTTTTTATAGATTTAATAATGGTGACAAACGAACAAAAAATCAACTTGGTCGTAAGTGAATACTGTGGCTCTTGGACACCAACATTTATCTTCGATTTAGACCAAATTTCTTATGCGTCACTCCTGTAATGCCTCTTTACCAGTAAAAAGGCCCTCCGGTTCTCGTACCTCATCATACAAAACACAGCACCGTACTGCTATTTCACGCTGATATTCTCTACGAACGTAGTTCTTCCTCGGTTGAGCTGACTGGCTGGCTCACCACGCTTATTTCTCTTCTAAAATTGATACTATTTAAATAAATCAATTATTATTCAATTTAAATCAAACAAGTTGGAAATAAAAAATTGAGTTTAATTTTATTCCATTCAGTCTACCTTTTTGGTAGTCATAAACTTTTGAAAATTTTATGACTTAATTGATGTGGATTTAATATAAATTACGTAGTTTTTGATATACTTTTAAAAGATCAAGTTTTATTAACATGCCTAATCTAAGTGTCTCATATAAGTAGACGAATTACGATAACCAGTAACAAATCGTCGCTCTCTATTAGAAAAAAAGGGAATACATAATGTAGTAGCCGATATAATTGCGAGATGAGATTTATGACGAGGAAGTGTAATAAAGGCGATTTTAAACGAATTTTATTCGTCTCACCTTTATTTGCACGTGCCAAATGCAGAACACGGTGGGCCTAATTTAGATTGGAATTAATGAACAACCGAGAGTTATCTTTGTCTCGTATAAAATATAAATTCTGGTCTTCCCATAGTTTTGCATAATTTTCAACGCGAGAGTGCTATTTATCAAGTGCTCAGAGGTGAAGAAAAACATATTGAGGAAATCTATTACAAATAAAATGTTAATATTTCGAAGACACGTAAATTTCACCAAAGTGGACTGAAGGAGTGCTGCAGATTAATTGCTCCATAACACAGGCTGAGGACGGCAAACCTTTTTTACCGACGTACTCGTGAAAAAATCAGTCCTTAATATTTAGATTACAATGTCAGTGCTGCAGGCGAGGATCGAATTCACAATGTTCGCATGTATGTAACTATATGTAACTGATTCTCGCGGACACGGCTCTAATGGTTTGGATGAACTTTTGTTTTACTGTCCAAGTTTATCTAATCATTTATCATTGAGTAAACAATTCGAACACCGAGCTTTGATCAAATAAATTTCGGTTCCATTTCGGTTCCGATTCGGTCGTCCAGATACTTATATTTAAAGAATGCGCGATGCCGTAAGTTCGGTAAGAAGATCACTTTGTATATGCCATTCCTAATATTCCCAGACTGAGACAAGAGACGTGAAATGTACCAGAGTTCCAGCAATATGACCT